CGTCGGATCTTTGTTGCAAAACAGAATCGGTTAATGTTGTTTGGCAAACGAACTTCTACCCATTCTAAAAACAGAACGAAAAACTTTGAGCTTAATTTTTATTTGATTGCTGAAGTATAATTCCTTCTCTTCACAGGTCTCTGATTCACAAACTTTTATCTGGACCACTTCAAATTTGCTTTGAGTGTCTTTGGACCACTTAATGATTATCATCGCCCTGATGATGGAGGCAGCAATAATCTATACAACGTTGGTAAACGTCTACCAGACAATACGACACTATAACCCAGAAGACAGTTCTTTCGACCTGTTGTTTAAAAGATTTAATGGCCTGTGTTAAAAATTCTAATATGATAATAAAGAAGTTGTTGCTGTACTAATTTATTCATGAGATATCTTGCAACATCTTCACCTATACTGCTCGTGCATGCATGTATGTATGTATTTTTTTTTTAATTCCAGGTGATCCGTGATCTGTGTGAAGAAAGCTCAAGGGCCATTGATGGTCAGTCGACCACACTCTGGGAACCTCTGTCATCGGAAATTCTGGTTAGAGGCAATAACCTTTAGACATTAAACTGGTCGACGCCATAGTTTGCTATTGAACATCTATTGTATGTTACACGCGTTTAAATGGCTTTCTGGTAACTTTTACTATCTAAACAACTGTTAACGCCTTATGCACTCAACAGCGCGTGTGAATCTTTTTACTGACCAGGTCGGAGCGTTCATTGTAACCGTGTTAGCCCTGCTAACACTCTCATGAACGAAAAATAAAAAATCCTCTTTATAACTTTCGTGGTTCAATGGTACTCCACACACACACACCGCTACACAGCAGAACCGACCAGATAAACTTCATCGTAGCCAAATGCAGCCAGCAAGGCGCTCGTCGCGAGCTTAAACTTCAACTATATAACTAGCTAACAATTCAACGTATCAACTTTCCAAAATAATTTATAGTTTTCGACTTGGGAAATAAATAAATACAGGTCGACCAAGAAGAATGATGGGTAGATACAACAGATGAATAGATATTTCTTCCAATTCAAGCTGATGTTTGTTAGGAAAGAAGATAATACATAGCTCCTTATAGTAAGGCTTAACCTTTGCCGTCCTATTTAAATTCACCATAAAATAATATCGTTAGAGCATTTAGTTTTAATGCCCATTTTACACTGTCTTTTGTACCCCAAGCACGGTAGGATAAACTTAATTCTGCTATACTGGGTTTTTATTGCACAATTCGATACAAAACAGATTTGACACACGCAACTCATACTACGACTGTCCGTGTCAGAAAGGTTTCATAACAGAAAACTATAACAAGATTCATCGCGTATGTTCAATGCCACTGTTTACAATTGGGTTGCATGACCTCGTTTCCCCATCTCCCAGTCTCCTATTATGAAGCTGTCATTCTTACGTTATATATGATTATGGATGAAACTGAATCAGTTCTAAAAACGTACTTAATTCGTCGCTCAATGCCAAGCCCCGACAAACGACCTCTGCAATCCGATCATATTAATCCTAAATAGAGGTCCATTAAGTTTGTCTGTTCTGCAGACGAGACCGCGTTCAAAAATGTTCTCTCGTGCATGAAACAGAACAAGATTATCAAATGGTCTCATCGTCATGAACTATGCAGTATCAGGCTGTTCTTAAACCCTCCAGCTATAGTCGGTTTCTCCATGTTTTCTACAAGCCCCCAGGATTTATTTTTCACCTCCTTACGTAGACATTAATGTCACATAAAACATTTAGAGCAATTAATTATCCTCTCATGACTTGATTATTTATGTTAAATGTAACCCCCAGGAACTTTAATAAAAAAAAAATTCAGCTTCTAGTCGCCTGTATGTTTCTCTCTCTCTCTCTTTCCCCAACATATTCACACATTCAAAAATTGTTTTTCCTATATCTTTACATATTATTACTTTTGTTCCTGATAACATCAGTTTTCCAAAATTTCTCTTCATGATGACACCATTTATTGCTTTCTAAGTTTGTAATTTTATTTCAGATAATCAGCTGACGAATCAGATATTTAAGACAGAAAAAAATAATTAAATATTCCCAATCTTTCGCCACTATTATTTGCATTACGGTGTTGTAAACCTGCCAGATAACAAGTACTTCAAGAACTAAGTCAGATACATTACTAACAGGCCTACAGACTGACATAAATATTTCGTATCGTATACGAACAGCCTGTTTAAGAAATGTGATGAAATCCTTCGTAAAGATTATCAACAACCGATGTGCATGCGACCTCTACAGACTAGTTTTAAAATGTAACTGTGCGAGTAAATATCTGACAGTCCGTACCCAACAAGGACGGGGCGCCATTTTGAAATCCACGTAAGTCAACTGTATATATAAATTTATTACCGATAAGAGATCATTAATATTTTATAAACAGGTTGTTCGTGAAAGTGGGGGAGTGGGTTAAGGTTGGTACTTGAAATCTGAGAGGCGATTTGAGTGAAGGAGGCGCTTTTTACGCAGAGAGAGAGGGAGAGGGTGTTTTTACATTCTGTATTAAAACGTTTTCTGAAAAGGAAGGAGATGAAATAATTTCTTTTGGCAGGAAATTATTGTTAATGATGAAGAAACACGTAAGAGGATGATAAAAATGTACTATGGTTGTAGAATTAAGATAATACAGCAGAATACTTGGATAAAGGTAGATGTAAATGAAAGAACGAAATTAGCAAGATATAAGCGACAGTAGGGAAGGATTTCTAGTTACATTAATAATATTTGTGTAACGCCATTAGAAACAGTTATAACACACTGCGTATTGCAAAATCCTGGTGTTACACCGCCTTCTATACAGAGAACTCAACGTATGGATATGAAAGACGTTTTAAAGGTCAATCAGCAGAACTACTTGAGAGAAATGAGAAAACTGGGCCAAGTTATACTAACAGATAATTGTAGTTTATACAATTTCATCTTCGGTTTACATTAATCTAGTCTATACGCACACTAAAAACATTTTCGCGAGAGATGTTGAGTTTGGGCACAAATGGAAAAGTCAAATCTGACTGTAAAATTTTACCACGTGGATTGGGAATACTTCCGCTCAAGAGACAAGTTTATGAAGCGACCCAGTTATGTGTAAATGTGTTTATATTAAATAAAAATTACACAAACGTTTCACGTCCGACTACTACTCTAGATATTGCGTTCCGGTTTCTGTTTTATTGCGATAGAAAATGAGAGTAAGCTAGCACAAGTTTACATTATTGGTACTGGCCGATATATTTGGTATATCTACGAGCAGTATAACAAAGTCTAAAATATCGCTATATCACGAATATGGGGGGGCCATGAAAACAGAATTTTACAACTTTTGTTTCACAACGCAGTCTTGGTAGGGATACACCTCTGACCTACTTTTCGTACAAGCTAGCCAGCTTTTACCCTGAAAGGATTGTTGACAGTTTGTTACATTCCCTGCAAGTCCAGTGTTCAAAACGTAACTTTGTAGCAGCTTGCTGAATAGTAAATGAGATCAGTGACAAATTATTTCAGTTTATAACTGAGATTCTTCAGTGGGTACACATTAAATAAATAAAGAATTGTGTTTCCATCCGTCTTCCAATTTATTTTAATAAACATTTTGGAATCGAATTTATTGTTATGCGCACAGGAATTTGGAAAATTAGAAGTGGTTTAAACCTGGAAAATGATAATGTACCGAAGTATTGCCCAAGGTTACTTACTACCCACTATGCGTTTTCTTTTGAAAATATTGCTGTTTGCCTACTTCTATTCTGTGCTCTTGCATTTGCTTTCTAAAAAACTTTTCATGGGTGTCCCTGTCAGAATCTCCGAATGCTGCTTGCATCTGCTTTTTCTGCAAAGCGTCCTTGGACCCGCCGTAGGTAATGGAGATCCTTGACCGTCATTACCCCAAACACGTAACCTCAAATTAAAGGCGTGTTGCCGTGAACTAGCATATATTTATTCATAACAATCTACGCAGTTATAACATCCAACTCTTAAATGTTATGTAGACCCACAAGAAAAATTCATATAATTCAAAGAAAGTTCACTCACCTCAGATATTTCTATGTAGAAGTATTAGATCACTGGAGCACAAAACAAACACATGAAAATATCTCGGTAACTGCACCAGAAACAATTGGCGGAATTCGCAGTTGCACTTCACTGAATCAAGCACTGGATGTCAGCACCAGCTTGAAGCATCTACCGTTCGTCAGAAAAGTGCCCGACAGCCATTCCCCTGTCTGGTGATTATCAAAATTAGTTTATACCGTGTAACTAATATTAACATTTCTTTGCCTACAAGTCTCTCCTCGTATGGCGTGACTTAGTAAAACCACGAATAATCTATTCCGGGCAGCCGGAAATCGCTTAAAATATATTTATATTAATTTACTATTGATTTTTTGTAGCAAGTAAATCATCCGCATTGAAGGTCAATAACCCGTTTTCGACTACAAAGTAAATTTGTGCGTTTATTTTATTCCTAGAACAGTGTTTATTTACTTGAGCACTTTCAAGCCATGGGTTCTGGAAACGACTATGGGATGTGTTCTGTTGGAGATAGGAATCAAACATAATGTGAGCAACCTTTATGCCTGCGTATCCAGACACGGAGCTCTGGGGCAAAAGAATTTCAGAAATCAACAAATAGTTAATTGTGTCGTTTGCTTATGGAAACAAAAACGGGTGTGATGAAGGTTATTTTCGTTGTTCCGCAGCCAAGAAGAATAAATGATGTGTTACTCTGATCGAATACATCACTATTACTATCGTCAAAATTCATTCACCTCATAACTGCCAATTTCCTGCCTTTTCAGTGTTATTAGGCTGTTCAACAGTGTACATGTACACTTAAGACAGTTCATTTCTGTCGTGCACATGCATCGCCCAAACCACTTGGTGTAATTTCAGTAAGTTTGGCACAAGAAATTCACATACACACAAAAAAATTGTCAGGAGAAATTTTTATCACGACTGGCCTATTGATAATCGTGGTTCACTGTTATTTATTTTGCTCTGAAGAAAAATGTTTGTTACAAAATTACACTAATTTTATAGAATTACATTTCAGTGCATATAACTTCGGTGGATGCCTCGGAGTGTGCATTTCCTCTCATGTTAATCCAATTTCAAACTGGAATGAATCTGATTACATCATCAAATTATTTTAACTTCTATTTGCTGAATAAGCTTTCATAATTGTTATTAGGTTCATATTCTTCAACAAGTCACATTACATAGCATCAACACAAAACCCGAAAGTTCAAAGAAACATATTTTAATAACAATGTTAAGGAAGATAAAGCAGGATGGAGCAGGTTTTTAATATCACAATCAATAACATCATTATCAAACTGCAGGTGCACACAATACACATGTACAGTGGATACTACAAGATAAATATCACTTTTATGCAGACTATACAAAATACATAAAATCTTTATTAATATCTGTGGAATGTCCCTGATCAGCTTTACTGCTGATGGCACAAACTGCGGACAATTTAGGCTTTGTATTACAAAACATATAGTTTACTTCAAATAGGTGATAAAATTCAAATTATAATCAAGTTTAAGACTCTTTTTTAATAAATGAGTTAATGCAAATTATTGTTATAATCAACTTCAGGTATAATCTTGCATGTGTGTACTACTATACATTTCCAGTGCTTTCAAACGGTGGAATACGTGCAATAAAAGCGGCAATCCACCTGCACGATTTTAAAAAAAAACACTATATAACATGAAATTATCACAGAAATAATATTTAATACAACCGTTAACATACTCTACAAACAACACAAAAATTAAAGTCAACTTTGACGGAATTCTGCTGACAACGAGACACCTAAATGATCATCATTTTCAATCGTAAGCATCAGCGAAGATTACATGGTCTAAAGATCTGTCTTCTGGATTGTCGCGCCATGAAGTCTGGTAGATGTCCGCGGCGCAACAACCCAGAAGACTGTGATCTTCAGATTCGCTGCCATAAAAACCTCAAATCCTACATTGTATGGTCTAGGCGTAACTAATATGAAAGCTGTAGTCTTCTTAAAATTGAATACATGATGTTGGATGTTACTCGTTATCAGTCAGATCCACACGGGTGATGAAGTCCTGTTGCAGTGTCATATCACTTCGATTTGGTTAAGGCAATACCCAGGCCAACTAACCCACCTATAGCCAACACGACACCTCCCGCCATAGCCAGTCCTTTCAGACCCTCTGAAACAAGTCCTGACAACATCAACATACACTTTCAAACAATGTGACATTCCACATATTAAAAGGAAGTGAATCAATAGAATTAAATAATATCCGTTTTTAAGAAAGCACAAACCTTTTTCCATCGTTTTTCTGATCGACGTTTCCAAATTTTGGACTTGCTGATTTCCTGGCTCAATTTGTAAGAATGATCTGACATACTTCAAGGCTTTACCATATTCCTGCAAAAATGCGATCCAGGATCACATTAAACTCTGTTAACATTAATGTCAATAAAAGACACAAATTTCATGAAGCCTGAAAGAGAATGCACATTTTCATAAATAAATATACCCACCCTTATTCTAGCATTCCCTATCGCCAAGTAATACAAATAGTCGCGCCTTCCGTCTTCACTGCCGCTGTTGTAAAGATCTTCGAGAAGAGTGATCCCTTTCCTGATGTCTGCCCAATACTGGCTTCGAACCAAACACCAACTATACTCAAATTGTGCTTTCTGCGTTACTTCTCCTTTAAGCAGCTCTTCATGGTAAGCACGCTCATATTTCTGAAAATTCAAGATTATCAAATGCTAAAAACATTTTACCATGAATCAGATAAGAATGGACCAAGTGAGGAACATCGTAATTTACAGAGATCATCTACTGACGGTTAACTTTGATACTAGTAACATTGAGTCTTCGGGTTCTGTTATGTAAGTGCCAGTTTATATAACACTTATGCATGTACTAACTAGACAAATGACACTGACAGTAAATTTCCCATTTGTTAAAACATAATTGTCATCAATATTATTTTAATGCAACTTAACAGAAATTTCAGGTGTATTTGTATGCAGTTTTAATTAATGATATGTAAACATTATTTAAAAAATCATCAGGTCAGTGAAACTTCTCATATTTGCACTTAAAAAAATCACAGTGGGTATGTTGTCTCCTCTAAAAGAAGACTGTGTGACTAACTGTAATAAAATATTACACACAATTAAACAAATACTGTAAAATACAGTCTGATCAATGAACAAAACATAAACACATATGTACTCCATATTTGGAGCACAATAATTTGATAACACATCCTTGGAAGCACATCCTTCAGACTGGCAAAAGGTGTATTAAACATGGCTTAACTTTTTATTAACATGTCACTGTCATCTGTTAGTTTTCATCTGCTGCCAGCTCATCACACCAACTACTGCTGGTACTGTGGTCTCATTTTCCCAATACAAGTTTGTAAGCCATATACAGACACATAAAAACAACATCCAATGAAATGTTCCATTTCTTTCATAGGAATATTCAAAGTTTTGATGGGTCACACTGCACTGAAAAATATTCGACTGAGATTTTACATCTTCCAGAATATGTCTATCCATCAATTTCCAGAAATAATGTATTGGCTGTTCAGCTTCTTGAACAGCTAAAGAAAGATCATGAAGCCACTGATGGACAGACTGAACATTAAAGATCTGCTGCAGTCTTTCATGAAACATATTTCTTTTCTGTACCATAGCTGCATCACCAGAAAGAATATTAGTGTGAAACCTATAATACTGTTAACAAACTGATGCTGTTGTTCTGGTTCATCTCTCCCACTGCCTTCAGTACCAGAGATTTCACATTCTGAAATTTCTTAACTTTTTTTCATGTTCTATGAAACACTCATCTACATGTTAACACTGAACCACCTGAATGGTAATCTTATTCTTGGCTTCATCTTCCACCTTGCCACAGAACACTTTTGGGTCCATGCTTCACTAAATAACAATAAGGAAATAAAACGCTACTTCATGTGAAATCATCATTTACTGCAAGTCAATAATAACAATAGTTAGATTGGCAGCAAATGCAATTACTTCAATTTCAATTATTAATACGGAAAAAATACAGCTTTCAAATGGCATTAACATGCATTCTGTTGGTGGCAGATGGAACCACATGAAGAAACTGGTATTACACCACGGCTGCCATCTTGAGCCTCCAATGGTTTAAACAGCAATGTAGTACACAACATAAGGAATATTATAAGGTTACATACGGCCATAAATAAAAAACAACAATTTCAAATCTGAACAAAAACAATTTTCCTCCTTACGCTTATTATGTAAGCTTTCCTTAAGCTCTTAATGAATCCCTGATAATTAATGGGGCAACGGCCTACAGCTTGTATACAAAATATTTGGACTGTTTGATTTTACTTACTCAATATAACGAATTATCAGTACCCTAACAGTTCATTAAGATAGATTATAAGCATCCTCAAAACCTAATATATAATGCAATCAGGTAAGTTTACGTCACTTTGTGCAATCATTTTCGGTACACGTATTTCAGGTTATAATAAAATCCCAGAAATATTATAACATGTAATGCATATATAACCATGTCCGAGAACCGATTCACAGATATTTTCAATGCATTTATATGTACTTTTCAAAGCAGATATAATTATCTCAAACCTTCAAATCTTGTGGTGACACAATCTCACTCAACACATCTTCCATGTTGACTGCGTTGTGAAATGTTAGAAGAACCACTGCACATAGCACAGATAATATTCATAGGTCAGAGCACCTAGCACAGACAAAGGAAGACACGACGAAAATTTAGGCAGGTATTTTTGTCACGGACTCTAAATTACACCACCAGAACTGAGGTCAGAACCGTCAGAACTACAGAAAATAAAACCGGACTGAGTTGTATTCGACTGACGCTATGATAAATTACAAGTGGGTAGAAGAAAATCTTTATCCATGTACAGTTCCTCACACGGGATGATATATTCAATATTCGGTGACAGATCAATGCACATACGTTTGTGAAAGTTACCACTTTAAGCTTTTAAAAAGGAATGCTTGTATATAATTATTAATAATATTTCATAAGCCCCCCCTTGAGAGTGACGTATTGATTTATTCACGTTGTTCGTTGTGGACAATATAGAACATTTTAAGCAAATTTAGATTGAGTATAAAGACATTAAGTAATAATTCGTTGTGTAAATATAATAATAGCACACAACGACGTCTATATGCCAAATACTACTTCACTGATTACCAGTAAGGAACAGATTCAGTATTCCACCTAATGTTAAATTTCAAATCACGTTGTAAACGTGTTTAACCAAAGTATCTTATATCCAACCATTGCCATTCCGTAGAAGAATTTTATTTAAAATTCTTAAATATGAAAGATATTTATGCAAATAGTTATGTTGGTATTGGTATTGCTTTGGTATTCTGTACCTTTTATTGTCTCTTAGTATCCATGTCCTTTAACCTTGTAATAATTGTGTATTATGCCCAAATTCCTTTCAGTTGGAATTCAGCATACTATGGATATAACTGTATTCTGAGATGTTGCACCGTATAGTCTGATAAAAATTTGTACCAGATTACGCGACGTATCGTCCTAGAAGAGCGTTACTATGATGTTCGTATTATACATGGTCACACTCGCCGCCGTGATAGCTTGAAATCTCATTGCCATGGATGCCACATAAGTGTGATGTATCCGTGGCTTTAAATAAATTACAAAATATTTTTGAGATTTCTAGGACCGTGGAAAATAAATCCTATTATTATAATATAAAATGAAAAATTTTGAATTTGGTATATGACCTTTAATCAATTGCAAAATATTTTAAGAATATTTGGGACCATAGGGGATGAATTGTTACAAACGAACGTTTTGAATTGCGTATAAAATTGCGACTGAAACTAAACTCCATGTAGATTTAAGGGAAATCTGGAATGTCAATTGGCATATAATTTCATATTTCACTTTAGTAATTAAGTAAATACTCTTTTATATAATATTATATTTGATTGGAGTAGGCTATGACTGTGTGCGAACATTAAAATATGGCAGCTGGTGGTGATGATTTTGAGTCATGGCTTAGTTTAAAATTGAGAGCATTGAATACTGATGAAGGTGTTTTCGGTTCGTATATAAGAGGAATCTTGGAAGGAGAAGAAACACTCGAAGATAAAACAGAAGCTTTGGAAGGTATACTTTCAGAAATAACGGTATGTTAATATCATGCTTGGACATTCTTGATTCCAAATGAGGTTAAATTAGTTGTGTGGTTTAGGTTATCTGTGGGGTGACAGTCTTGCATAGTTACTGTTATTAATATATGTAATTTGTTGAAGTAAAATTATACTCTGTGTACTCATGAGAGTTGCATTGATTTTTGCAGGAAGATGATATTCCTACACATTGTCGAGAAATACTGGTAAAATGGAAAAGTGTATCACAAACCACAGATGTGGTAACAGTAAATAATGCAGACTCTGGTGAAGACATGGATGTGAAACTAGTACGACTTCTTGAGTCACAGCCTCGGCCAACCACCGTGCAGCGAACATATACAGAAGAAGAACGAAAGATACGTGAAGCCATATTGGCACAATATAGCCAGGTACTTTCTGTTTAACATAATATTTTTGTCCACTGTCATAATGATGAATTATAAATAATAGTGTACCACTGAAAGTGGACAGAATTGTTAGGTTTTTGGACCTCGTTCATTGATGTTATAAATGCACAACATTTTGAGGACTGTGTTTGTCCATTAAATGAGCTAATCCCAATCACTGGGCCACAGTGGTTGGGATTAGCTCATTCTAACTCACCCCACAGAGTAAGTGTCCCTTTCACTACACATGAAGATGACAGATGCAGTCCTCAAAACATTGTGTTTTGTAAGATCAGACAGTGGAATGGACAAAGTCCAAAAACCCAACAGTCTAGATTTCTTTGCTGTGAGTGCACAATTACATATTAGAATTAGTAAATTATTATATTTGTCTATCAGTACAAATGTCATTACATTAAATTAATTTCATCATTCTTCTAGGTATTTTAATCTTTATTGGCTTTACATCATGGTTTGTGCATGAGCCAGCTGGCCATGTGTTACAGTAGTATATCATTACTATTTGACACTAGAGTTAAAATGAAAAACTTCTTTGACATTATCCATTGTCTTAAGTTAATTTAAAACACATTGTTTAGGAGTCTGCAATCTGCCTCTGTCTTCATGCTAAACCTACTCTGTTGGGCCCAGTCAATATTGCTGGTCCCTGTCTCTCACTAGAAGATGTTCGTTGTTTTTACAATATACTATTGTCACAGAACTTCAATTTAATCTAGAATTGGTTGTCCAGCTGGCAGTCCCATAGTATAGGGATATAAGTCCTGTATTCCCATATGATAAAGGTTGATGGAATTTTCTCTACAGTCAATTTTCAAAGAAGTAGTGTAACAATAAAATCATCAGTATTTAATGTCTTCTGTATTACATGTGTTATGTTTGGGTGTGTCGTAGTTTCATATTTCTTCTTATATATATATATATATCATTACAAGAGATATATTGTGTTATACAGTGAACTATGGCACCGCAAAATAAATTTTGGATTAGCTTTTGATGTAGCTTTAATAATGAAACACAGAAGTGTCATCATAAAATTGTGTACCACTGTGGAATTTCAAAATATGGTAAATAATTTTGTTTTAGTATTAGGTAGTTATTAACAGTGTGGAGCATTTATGTCTTTGTTTCTTTTATGGTGTTACAAAAAGAATCACATTCATATTATGAAGAATTTATAGGGGTTCCTGATCCCAAACCCAGAAAATCTGGTTAGTAAGGGTTTGTGGAATGAACTGTATGATCAAACAGAAGCAGAAATGTTCTGTATATTTCATTGTATTCTGTAAAAAGAATCGTATCCTTCATTTTAGATGTCTGATCAAGATGATGACGATGAAGCAGATCATCCGATTGAAGGCAAAGAGAATGGTTTGGTCAAGAATACAAATTCTGCTGTAGTTCAGCAAGCTGAAAAGGAAAAAAGAGAGAAAGCTAAATTAGAAAGTCAGAAGAAGAAAGAAAAAGATAAGGAAGACAGGTAAGTGCACATATATTCCAAAGTACTATTTCTCAAATTTTATGTGTCTTAAATGTTACTTCTAGTGTAAACGTTTACAGGCAATGAAGGTTTTATTATTTTCCCCAGTCATTCCAGGTGAATTCTAAAATAGTACCTGGAAATAGGCCACAATAGCTGCTTTCCCTCTACATTATTTACCACACTTTTCCTTTCATCTCATTCACTTTGATGTGACCTTGCAGTTGTTATAGCATCAATAAAATAATAGGAAATAATATTAATAGGAGTCCCGCGCCATAGCCGCGTGGTCTGAGGCATCATGCTTCAGACCGGCGATACGGAATGCGCGCTGGTTCGTGTCTCGGGGGAGAAGAAATTTTCTCACGAGCTTTTGACCAGTGTATGGGACCGGTGCCAACCCAGAATCGTGAGGAAATTGGGGAGCTATAATGGGTAACATAATCTGGTCAGGAAAGCTAGCAATGGCCAGCAGCCAGCTAGTCGGCTTTGTCTCTCAGAGGTCTGTTATGCCACAGATTTAATTTTAATATTAATAGGAAGTAGGAAAATTATAATTTTTAAATTAGAATGCAGGGTGTCAGCACAGAAGTACCTCATCTCTGAGTAATGTACCAGATGTGATTTATTACATCCATCCATGAATGTATTTGTTCAATATAATCAAATTCAGAGTACTGATAATTTGATGTACTTCAGTGAATTTGGCATTTGTCATTTGGGACATAGTAACTCTTGTACATCAAATTCCACAATTATAATTCAAGGATAGGCATTTTATGGGACTGCAGTTTTCACTCCCATGATGCAGGATTATGTTTTCTTGATCTTATTTCCCCCGCAGGGAGAAGCAGAAACAGCAGCAACAAGAAAGAAAGGAGAAACGAAAGACACAGAAAGGCGAAAGGCGAAGATAGCAAGATGATGCAGCAGTAATGTGTGAGTGTATGTGTTGTGTCATTTTAATTTATTACTGTTGGCTCATGTGTTCTGTGAGTAGCACTTATAGTTTTAAATTTCGGCGCGTCGTTGTATATCTGTATTAGTACTGCAATGGACACAGCTCGTTTGAGACCTCATTTCAAGTGGCAGTCTTTGGTATATCATAATTTTGGGGCTCAGATTTTGGTCTCAGTTTGTCATAGGAAAACTCTCATGTTTGAATAGGACAGATTCCAGTAATGGTTTTGTTCCTTTGTGTTTCTTAAGCATTCATATGGCGTATGCATGATATACATAATCGTAATACATGTGACAGTTTGGATATCTGTAAATATCTTAAGGGAAAAGATTTGAAAATATATCAATTATTTGTTGTTATATTAATGGCAGTATATGATTTCCTTTGGCTCACAAATGTATTGAGGTACGTGATCTGTAGATACTAAATATAATACTCAGTTGAATTTTCATGATGAGGTTCAGAACACTAACATATAACTGAGAATTACTTCTTCTTTTTTAATACAGTTTGTTCCTACATTCTTAAAATACTGTCATATATTACAGGGATCCTCAGGTAGGAAAGTGATGAACATCACTGTTTTAAATAGTTTCAAAACTTTTAATTTAATAGATTTATGCTGATTGAATGTTTTGAAATGAGTACAGGATGGAAGATTTCTGTCTTCTGGGTTGTTGCGCCGTGTAGTCTGGTCGATGTTTACCAACGTTTCAGAGGTCATACTGCCTCCGTCATCAGGACAGGATTATTTATATTCTAAATATTTTATTTGTCTTGGTATGTTAGTTCTTTCACACAGGAAGATGGGTAATGTATATTCTATTTTAATTACTCATACCATCACGTAATGGAATTTAGTATAATTTGTAAGCCACTACTTAGGGGTGAGTGTATACTGCAGACATGCTCAGTACTCAAAGGGCTAATTTATAACATGCTAAACAGTTTCATTTTATGACTAGATTTATTGAACAATTATTTAATACTCTGTAATTAACTTCAAATCTAGATGCTTAATCTGTTTGTGAAAATTAAAATAATATTATATGTGGAATGTATTTCATTGCTAATTGAGTTCAGTCTAAATTTACCAATTCATTTTACAGTTAATTTCTTGATACTCCCCTTCCCCTCTAATTGTAAAACATTCTGAAAATTATATTAATTTGATAAACTGAGGTTGAAATCTGAGCCCAGAGATTGGTTGATGTGTTTGATATGAATATATTTTTACACTCCAAAATAAGAATGTAAATTTCAATCCTGATATTCTGAGGTACAAGTGAAACAGATGCACCTGCTTATGTGTTTATGTTTTAACACATACTTGGATAGCAGTGTACAAATATTAGTAAGAAAGAATTAAATCCTTGCTAAGGTACATTGCCACTTCATAACAAGTTGTGTCCATTTTTGTGCTTAGATATATTGTCAAAACAGCTGTGTCCATATTACATATTGCCATGCAGCTGCTGAGATATTGCTAACTTTATCACTTACCACTACCTAAGAAAATTGGTTAGCTGGCAGTATTCTACCAGTAGTATTTCAGATGTAAGAGATAAAGGGTTAGGCCCATCTTCATCAAAGTTACAGCTCTCTGTATCTGTAAGTTTTTAGTGTCCATGTCTTTCCTTTCCTTAAATGAAGTAAGATCTTCGAGGAATGAAGATAATAATTTTAAATCTGTTATAATAGGGGTGACCAACTATTAAAGCCCTATGGACATTGATTGGGGTTTGCAAATAATGTGCATATAGCAAAATCTTTATATTAATAATGTAGTTCATCCTGTTGCATATTTTAACCTGAATTGAGTTTTTTCTTATATTTCACATAATTTGTAGATTGCGTGAATTGCCTTTGTGTACTGCATAGAACCAGCTTGCCGGACCTGTATGTAGGAATAGGTACATTTTTTGTTAAACTTAATGGCCTAAGGTTTCCTAAATAATGTCACAAGTTCTATTGTAAGAGCAACTCCTGTTTGAAATTGATACATGGCAGGGAAATTTACTCCAGAACTGACTGAACTGGGTGGATCTCTGTAACTGACTGGTATTTACTTACATTAGGAGCTGAATTTTATAGCATTTGTTTACAAACTGCAGTTTCAGAATGCTGGATCATGATTACTATGCTATAAATTTCCTTCCAAACAGCTATGAATATTTTACTGTGTTGTCCATTTTATGCATAGTAATTCACTGTACAACTAAGAAAGAAATATTGTGAATTTTGTGCAGGAAGTAATATACAGTGATGTTTTATATGAAATTAAAATCAGGGCTGTGGAGTCGGAAGCAATTTTAGGTGGAGTCAGAGTCTGAGTCGGTAAAAAAAATTTACCGACTCCGACCTCGACATAAAATCTTAAGAACACTTTCGCTATCGTGTGGGCCACCGGACGCCTCACGCTTGGGGAGATCCAGCGACGCGTTGAGCCACATGGTGTGGGATGCCTTGTAACTTTGGCTCCAGTACCTTAAGAATACAAACTGTCTACAAATCAACAGATTTCTGCAATAACCATTAGACATATATTTAAATACGGGAATACTGGGAACGACCCGTTCTTCAAGTGCCTGAGCACTGCAGGTCCCAGCTTTTCGTTGGCTTGATCTATAGACATTCGGTAGGACTCCTTGGATGAGGGATCGGCCCGTCGCAAGGCCTCTACCTGTACACAGGACAGCACAACACAGAAAAACGCAGACAACCATCCATGGCTTGAGTGGGATTCTAACCCATGGTCCCAGCGACGAAGCTGCAGAAGGCCCACACCTCAGACTGATTAACGTGGTGGTGATGAAATTGCTTGTGGTACCATTTACCATTTTAGTAGGTTTAGCATTATTAATACATATTGAGCTTTCATGAAGGAGTCGGAGATTTTAGTACCAACTCCACAGCCCTGGTTAAAATAGGCCTACTTGTGTTGCATCTTAATCCTGTAACTGACTATTTTGTGTCAGACAACTCACTTTGCAAACAAAGAAGAATATTGCACTGGTTGTTTTCTTCGTACAAATACTGTTCATTTTCACAATCCATACTCTGGAGGGGTTATTTTTCTCATAGTAAGTCCCTTTCAATCTGTTGGACACATCTTATGTTTGTTTTAAAGATGTTATTGTAGTATTTGTAATCACACCACAGACATGTTACATAAAATGTTAAAGAATTAAGGTATTTTCTTGATACTTGCAGTCTTGTCTCCTTTCCTTATCAGATGATGCAAATAATGTGCCAATATTGCCATGAGAATGTACACCACAGAGAATGTTGTGAATATACAGTAGATGTCTCTGTGATCTACATGGCAAAGTGATGCAGTTCTTAGATAATGATTGTAAATTGTGTAAAATCAACTCATCTCGTTAGATGCTGTGTAATGTATGAAGTTTAGAAAATGTTAAATAACCTAAGAATTAATCTTTTCAGATTCAGAACTGTCAGATATCGGTGTAATGCATTTATGTAGGCTACTAATGAAATCACCCATTCTCTTTCTGGGGTTTCTTTAAATAATCTGTGTTGAAATAATGAAGTAATTTATTATGAGTACTTTACTGATGACTCCTTTGCACAAGTTTTTATAAAATAACCTATACTGAAATAAAGGAATTGCCTATTTGCTATGACAGTCATATGGATACATATTCCTGTTGACCAATGTTCTGTTATTTACCAGTTTTCGACATGTATTATTTTTGCACTATAAAATGGGTTAAAACATTGCCTACCGACCAGACCAGAGATGGGGAACACTGGACAAGAGGATTTTATATATAAGAGAACCTAATAAATTAATCTGATGTGTACAAATTGTAAATTTTAATCCCCAATATTAAAGTTTTTGAAGGTGTATTGGTTTTGTGTCTGTAATTATTACCACACAACTGAAACAAACGTGGCAGTTAAGTGAAATGAAAATGTTATTCAAAGTGTTTGTAAATTACACATGTTCAGAGCTGGCACAACAGCACAGATGAACCAGACAGCTGCCTGGGGACAAAGTTTTGAAGAAATGAGTTATTTAGGCTTGTGCTGGGCCTGCACATGTTTATTTCTTTTGTGTGGAGACCCAGTAGTTGCATAATGAACATTATAGTATATGAAATATGAGGAATAATATGATTTTGGGAAATAGAAAGTTTATATTTACTGAATGTAGCAAAGAACAGCTTAATTTGTAAAATATATTGTGGAACTATTATTAAAAAATATAAGCTACTTCTACACAAATGAAATTACCTAAGTATTGACATTTATATGAAATAGAGAGGACAATAAGTGAAGTGGTTATAACAGTTATTTTTATGTAGATGTATTTTCAGTATCAGAACTGAAGAACAGAATATTTTAATAAAGACTGACTTTCTTATGAATGGAATATCATATAGTAAAAGAACAGTATACAATTTTAAACACAGTTACACCAAATGGACAGTTACAGTAACAGCTGTGATGATTGCCATTTGATTACATCACCTCTCTTGTGTACAAAAAATAGTTATTGTGCATAGCCAGTCCTTTATTGTATCTTGGTCACTAGCTTAATATTGATTTTATATGTGGTACATAATCCATGCATATATGCATAGAGGACTCCATTCTCCCCTTATGCATTCATATTATCCAGCTGTACACACTGGTATAGTCTCTGCATTTATTTACACACTCCTTGGTTTTAGTTAACATTTATGTAAGTTCTCAAAATTCTAATTGAAATGTAAACATTTAAGATTATTAAAAGAACATGAGACATGAAAGAATTTAATAACCACTTAACATTTGCATGACACTAACTAACTCACTCCTTGGAAGAGTCCTTGAGAACCTTATAGTCACTCAACTCGGAGGATAGTAATCATGTTCACAGGAACTTGCCTTTAAACCTTGTCCTGAGTTAGTTGAATCCAGTCAGCATCCTCATACTCTATAACTCTGAAATCTCCCCTTTTTGTGCTACATGCCATGCCTGTTTTATTCCTTTTGGTTTGATCACACTATTATTTTGTGAGGAGCAGAAATTATAAAGTATCTCATTATGCAGTGTTTTCCATCCTCATGTTACTTCCTATTTCCTGGGTCCTTAAGCCATGTTTCAAGTACCTTTAATCTGTGTTCTTCCCTAAGAGTAAGTGACTACGTTTCACACTTGTGTACATGCCACTACATGAATAAGTATTAATTGTGTAACTGGCCAATGTAAGCATTTTTACTGCGACATACTTGCAAAATAATTCGTCACTATGATTGTCAGTATTAACATTTTTCTTGTTTTAGCAATGTGAGGTTTCTGGAGTGAATTACTGTATCGTACCTTCGTATAAACATTCATACATTTGCAAATGGTAAAGAGTTGCATACATTTAATATGAACTATGTAAAATTGAATCTTTTAGTTAACCGTACAGGGAAGGAAATTTGAAAGTTATGTATTATACCTTCACATACAGGTGTAGCCTATTTATATCTGGAATGAAATATTAGTTCTTAAATTTTACTTTCATAGTTGAAATTAAGATCTAAGTCATATAGGTAGCTGATATGTATTAATTAATGGATTGAAGTCAATGTGATGTCCCACAAATTGTTGATATAAAATATGTAATTTAAATACAAAAGTGTAGACCATAGAAGAGCTCCCATATGTTAACTGCTTTGACATAGAAACAGTTGTAAGTAAATCACTATATGTAGATATACTATGTCCATTGGTCTGTTGTCAGGTTGTTGTGTTCTTTGTTGTGTGGTCAGTACTACATTACTGTTTGTAGGAAGAATCAAAATTCCTTTAACAGGTGCAAAAAATTTGTCTCAATAATACATGTGTTGATAGGTCAGATACAAACATGTGAATGATCAGGAAATTTGTATCATAACTTGTACCAACTGTTGTATGGATTCAAAAATCATTGTATTATATATTTACATAGTGAATAAATCATATGCAGTATGATTATCCGTTAAAAACTGCTTTCGTTAAGAAAACAGCACGAGGAGGTGGTGTGTGTGTATGTATGTATGTTTGAATGAATAACCTCTACTATTAACTTTTGGCCAAAGTGGCAGATTTGTATGGAACTTGATAGCCCTCATCACTATGATGATGGAGGCAGCAAGTACCTCTGGAACATTTGTAAACTAATACCAGACTACATGGTGCTACAACCCAGCTGTCCTATTTACTCCACTCCATACATGGTAGTATGAATGCAAAAATTTGTTCTGCAAAACTCCCAGGACTTTCCATGTGCTTGGGAATGACCACGTAAATGCCCCTGCTGCTAACATCTTAACTCTAAAATCTAGTCCCATTTGACAAATGATAGGTTGGAATGTGTTCTGAAACTTATAAAATTAATTGTCCCCCTGCTGTATTTAATTTGCAGAAATATAGAGGGCATTAAAATTAACTGATATCATATTAGGATACAGTGACTTAAATTATGTTGATTTAAGTTATTTCTTCCAGCTGCTGTGGGTCCTCCTTGGATCATATATACCTTTGGCATTCTTCAGATTGGACAGATGTGCAACAATGAAGTAACATCATGGGGTTATTTTTAAATTGTCTTCATGAAATGGTCAGTTCCTAGCAGGAGCTAAAATCTTTCTGTTATACTGAGCTATTGAGGTATGATTTCTTTTAACATGTGACAACACACTGGTTTTCAGATCAGCTTATTGGAACAAGTAAACAAAATTGCTTAGTGTCTGTATCTGATGAACCCTCCATATTTTATATGATGTCCCCATTATAATTGAAAGAAATCTTGCTAAAAACAAACTGATAACTTGGGAATAATCTAGTTAAGTGAAATTAAAGAAAAAACATTGGTATTTGATCAATAAAACTATTAGGCAGAATTATTTGTATTACAGATTGAACAAAAACTGTATGCCTAATTTAAGAGGTTAAACTGGGAGTAAGTAGGTGGTGGTGGTGGTGATGGCAGCTTTGTTATACTTGTTGAAGGGAGGAAAAACTAAGAAGAAAAACTGGCCTGTAATACCATTTACAACACATTCTCTGTAATGGATGTGTGTGTGATAATGTGGCACAGATAAACATTTCATCCTCTGCTCTCTTAATTATCAATACTTTAGCAGCTACAGCGTACAGTTACTGTTGTTGAATGGAGAAACAATAACTTTTGCATGAAAATAATTCCTGTTTCAGGCTGTCAGTCAGTTGCAACTTTTCACCATCATGAATCATCCTAGTCACAGCCTGAGATAGGACCAGACAAGTAGAATTAAGCACTGTGCTTTGTGACATCACATTGTTGGTAATTATGTAAACTTTATTTAATTTCAACTATTTTGTAACCTCATATTGGGAAGACAAATTACATAGTTAGCATCACAGCTGCAGTCTTGAAGACCTTTCTTAATGCACTGGGCTGTGTTTTATTTTGACTGATAATAAATGTTTTCTGACACTTGGAACTAAATGGTGTTTTGGTATAAAATGGGTAAAGAATATGATGGAAAGGATCTATAAACAAGTCTCCACTCAACATTTTATTTATTTACATAGTAAATTTCACTTTCTTTCTTGTTTAATTCAAAGACATAAGGTATGTAATGTGACCTGCCATGAATATGTTACTTGATGTAACTGAGACTCAACTAGATTTAATGGTCCCAGGTTCATATCCTAGCCAGGATGGTAAGAACAGTGCCTTGAAGACAAAAAGGTAAAAATACAAAAATTCAATAATTCAGTTACCAACTATTAAACATTAATGCAATGTTATCCTTACATCATACTCATTAACTCTCTGTTGGATCTTAATCTGAATTATTTAGCAGCTGGTAATGTCACCAGTCTGTCTGTGTCATTTGGCAGGTAGGAAAGACATACACTTTCAGTCAACTGTCTGTTACATGTAGCTAAAATAAAATAATTATCTGTTTGGAGGATAATTATGCTTCAGTACTTGTAAGTTCCACCATAACCTTCAGAAAGTCATTAGCATTAAGAAGTTACTATGCTAAAGGATATGTTGCATAATGCTGCAATTTTATAATGTCTCATAGATACCATATTGGATTAATTCTCCACATATTAGGTTCACATTTAAATATGAACATACTAGTTGAGTATCTAAATTGATATAACAAGTATTGTCATTTATTACAAATATCATCTCCACAGTAATTGAAAATGCAAATTCAAAATATGATAAATAACATGAAGCACACAGAATTCAGTACATTTGAAATTATTTCATTATCAGATGACTAGATTGATAATATTTACTAGAATAAAAAGTCAATACTGCTGATGATAATAAACATGTCATTGTAGTATTAGATTTAGAGAGACCTTGTAAGGTTTTTACATTCTGTTGATTAAATATGTATTCATATGTAGAACTGAAAAAAAAATTAAACAAAGTTTGGCAAATACTGTGTCATAGTTAATGCAAGAATGAAAAGGCATGGCCCTCTGAGCAATTCTTGCTTTTGCATTGTAAGCATAAATAAGTGTCAAACTTTGCAAATGGTAAGATTTGTTGGTGATTTTATGTATCATATAAAAACCAATAATTTTATATATGGTTTATTTCATGACACTGTCAGTAGGTCAGGCTACAATGTATCAAATGACAGGATGAAAAGCCATTAAGTCTGCAGCTCTGGTGAAATAAATTAGTTTAAATATCGATTAATTATAACCATGGAGAAGAAATTCAATATGGTATCCATGCCTCTGGCCCCGAATTTGTTGGTATAACTATAAACATATAAAATAGTTACACAGAAATTCAAACTGTCTTTTGTTTCACTGAAATTGTATTTGACACTTCTAATGTTTGATTAAATTTCTATGAAACATTTGGAAAGTGATTGTCTAAATGACTATTCCTCAGTAATTGATAAAGATAATGATAACTGATGATACTACCTTGTTGCGGGTTTTGCCATATTAATGTACATTAATTCACTGAGGTGAAGATTATTAAAATGTTGTTCATTTATTCTTTCTCACAGATGTCAAAATGAAATGCACTTCTGTTTTCTGCACTCAATATCTTGCTGACAGTTGAATGTTATGACCTTATGGTTCAATACTAACAATTTCATGATGTGGAGTTGAAATACACAGCTGCTTTCATTAAGAACTGTTAGGAAAGAAGTGTCAAAACACATCTTTCGGGTTTCTAAAATGTCTCATAAATATCCAATGTTTGGTCATATTTCAACCATACCGTAGTTGTAAGTTCTTGTCTGAAAGATGTACCAGCTGTGATGGTTATATATACACAGATACTGTTAAATTCTGAATGACGTTCAGTCATTTTGTCAGATGTGGTTCAAACTTGTTTCGCTTTATTATTAATGGTGAAACTCTGAAACAGTATCATGTATAGCATTATTGATCCAGGGAAGTTAATTATAGGGATATACAAAGTCATGTAGGCTTTACACTAGAGTATCATATGCTGGTCCCCACTTAATGGTACCTGCGCCTTGTCGTGGTGGTGGGGCTTGAGTACCTCAGTGACCCCAAGAGCTACTGGTAGGGTCTCCCTAGCCAGATTGGTCGAGGGGGAGAGGTCAGACTAAGACAGGTACCCTGGTCCTCCAGGTTGGCGGTTGGTCGCAAGGCTAACAACCTTGCACCGTAAAAAGGAGGATGTTTCGAAACCTCAATCAAAGCCTCGGACAGATGGACCTGGAAGAGGAGAATTGAGGAGGCCATGGACCGAATACGGACCAGAGAGCCATAGAAGAAGAAGATCATATGCTTGTACAGATGCAATCAAAACTCCTGTTGTTCTGAGTGGTCAGTCAAAATACACCTACAGAAATGGCATATACTTATGTACTGATCTGTCATAAATGAGACTGGGTGTGTGGGAACACTGTTCAAATGCACCAGAATCAGAAATATTCTAACTAGATTCAGTCTTTTCTCCTGGATAGGAAACAAATCTATGGAGTGAACTATTGTGTTTGCGTTGCTCCTTATTGCACTAGGCCAAGTTACGTCATACTCTTGATATGGACTACAGAGTTACACAGAGATACATAAAATATTAATATATTGGCCTTACGAAAGACTTGATGAGTATCACATAAGACGATTAAAATCATACCACAAACTTAAAAAAGTAGGAGGCACAAAAATAAAGTATAAACCAACTCACTGTGGTTAGAGTATTGTATCACAATTGACTGGGCTAGGTCACACTTTTGGTTTACAATAGCTTTTCTTGGCCAACAGCATCGGTTTGCCGTTACTGCAATGTACAGGTGACCACATTAGGCCATGTTCTTGGTACACGATGGTAGACCAGACTAGGTCACTCTCTTGATTCACAGGATTGGAGGTAGGAACGTTCCCGAGTCATCGAGATTCAGATCGAGCGCGGCTACTGATTCACCGACAGCTACAGTTGTACGACTGCTTCCACTTGCGCTGCTTACACCATTTAACTTGGATTTGGCAGTTCCATTGATGGAGGCAGCTTCACCTGACTCTGTTTGGTGGGAATCACCTGCAGTGAGTAGTTTAGATGCACACTTCTTGCCTCTGTAGAGTCGGTAAAGTGAGTACTGCTGCTGCGTCGCAGCTGAAGACTCTCCCTCAGACACTCGCCGAGGTTGTTGCTGCTGCTGATTACTAGCAACTTCTGATGGAGACCGCCTCAGCTCTTGCTGCTGTGTTGAGAATAACAACAGAATCCATTCGTGGTGCAGAGCATCTCCTGGTGTCAGGCGTTTCTTTGCATCCCACCTTCAAAAAGATTTGGAAGCACAGGGTATAATTTTACAGGTGACTATACATTTAGTCTTAAACTCCGAATATCTGCACGCAAAATTGAAAGCAAGTATGAATTGTGATCATCTGTGGACAGAATATAAAAAATGCATGATATTTTCTTAAAAACAATCTTTTGTTATCTGAAAATATCATGGACAGATGTGGAAAAAGAGGTTTTCTATGCTCATTGCAATGGTGGCATTACATAGAGGCATTCTGTATCAGGGTTTGACTGTATGTTCATGTAACTGTTAGATCCATCTGATATAATATCAGGAACACATACAACCTTTAAATTGCTTTTTATTATTTCTTGGCCAATTGACAGAAAAACACTAATGAAAGAATTCTTCCTACAGTGAAAAATGAAACTTACGCATAAAAGTTGTCAAGATCATGTTGTTATTTCCAGAAGTGTATTTTATTTAAATTCGTACTCACTCTAGGCATTTGGATATGAAATCCACAAATAGTGTGTCACTGCATCGTATCGCAGTTGCCAAGTCTTTGGATCCTGGTTTTCTCTTTCTACCTTTACTGTTAGTAATACACCTAGGGTTGCCTTTAGAATCTGGGAAAAAAAGAAAATTATATAATTTTCTGGTATTATTATTGAGATATATACCAAAAAAGAGTCTTCTTCTTGAAGCATTCATGGTGACTTCCTCAGGTGGAGTTCCAAGGACTTCCATAATGCAAGCCAACTGTTCTACCTCATTTTCTCCCGGAAATAAGGGGTAACCAGTGTACAGCTCAGCCAGAATACATCCTGTACAACAAACACAAATGTATAAAGGTAAAAAAGAAACTTGTAAGGTCTGCATAATTAAAACAATTTTACTATTTTATTTTTCAACATTTCAATAACTGTATACCTTCAGCCCCACTTAATGGTACCTGCACCTTGTCGTGGTGGTGGTGGGGCTTGAGTACCTCAGTGACCCCAAGAGCTACTGGTAGGGCCTCCCTAGCCAGATTGGTCGAGGGGGAGAGGTCAGACTAAGACAGGTACCCTGGTCCTCCAGGTTGGGTGTTGGTCGCAAGGCTAACAACCTTGCACCGTAAAAAGGAAGATGTTTCGAAAGGAAGAGGAGAATTGAGGAGGCCATGGACCGAATACGGACCGGAGAGCCATAGAAGAAAAAGAAGAAGAAGAAGTAGTATAACTTCAGTATTAACATTTGGCTCAGTAATCAGCCATAGAGGGAACACGCTTGAAATTATGGAAACAGCTACATGATATTCCTGTATCAAAGACAAACAATAAAATATAAATTTGACATTATTTACCAAGACTCCACATATCAATTGCAGTCCCATATGGTAGACCAAGTATGACTTCTGGAGATCGATAGAACCGAGACTGGATGTAGGTGTACATCCTCTGATGAAAGTAACATGAACTTCCAAAGTCAATGACCTTGATGGAACTGCTACCTCGTTGTTTCAAGAGTACATTTTCCTGTAAGAAGATACATGACAAAATAAAGCTGACAACAGAAACAAACTCCAGTTATAATTATAACCTAATATCTAGTAACAAACCTGTAAGACTACGAAAATGTGATGACCACTGGCTAATAGCCAGCCAACCCTCTGGCATTTTAACCCGGAAGTTAACGTTATAAGCACAAAATTCTGCCTCTGAATTCTGTCATGAACTGGAGTTCATTTCCATTGAATGATTACAGATGCCTATTTTTTGCTAAATGCATCCATTTGAATTCAACAGCTAGGCAAATTGAAATATGCAACCATGAATTTTAGCAATGAATGTTATACAAAATTATCACTAATACAGAATTACAGTACTAAGAAGGCACAAATATAAGTTAGAAATTTTCTTATATCACCATACTGATACTTCTGAACACACAAAAAAGACATTTCATGTATTTAGATGTGTTTATATTAATTCAGTTATGTGAAATAAACTTCTTGATTTAGTGAAAATCAAGGAAACTGACAATAGTTAATACCAGGGTTGTGGAGTCAGTACACGAAATCTCCGACTCCTTCGTAAGAGCTCAATATGTATTAATGATGGTAAACCTACTAAAGTGGTACCATAAGACATTTCATCACCACCATGTGAATCATCACGCTACTTTTTAGACTTATAACCTATATTTAAATATAAGTCTAATAATGGTTATTGCAGAAATTGGTTCATTTGTAGACAGTTTGTATTCTTAAGCTACTGGAGCCAAAGTTCTTCTTCTTCTTCTATGGCTCTCCAACTCGACCAACCCTACCAGTAGCTATGCTACCGCCAGCATAGCTCTTGGGATCACAGAGGCCGGAGCCAAAGTTACAAAGCATTATTCCCACACCATTTGGCTCAAGACGTCATTGAATCTCCCTAAGTATGAGGCCAGCGGCGGCTCACACAGTAGTGAAGGTGTTAAAAAATAGTATTTACCTAAGATTTTATATCGGAGTCGGTACATTTTTACCGACTCTGACTCCGCCTAAAATTGCTTCTGACTCCGACTCCACAGCCCTGGTTAATACTCTGGAGTTTTATAAAGTCAAAGTAACTGGCTACCTGTTATACTCACAGGTTTGAGATCACAGTGAATAATGCTTTCCCTATGCAGCAATTTGAGGCACTGCACCAGAGAATAGGCAAACCGTCGAATTAAACTCAGGCTAAAGCCTTGGTAATTGTTCTTCTTGATCAACTCGTACAGGTTTAGGCTAGAAAAACAATGCAGTTATAAAAACCACTGTCTTTCGGCAATATCTCTTATTAACTGAAATGCCTTAGTATTAAAGAAGGTAAAAGTAAAGCGTCCCACTAATGCCATGTAGGCGCATTGGGGGAGTGGAGGTATAGCTCCTACTCTTTCTTGACCTCGGCACTAGATGGGGGTGAGTGGTCAGCATCACGCCCCAGCCGTGCTTTACCCCCGGGAAAGGATCCCGGTACCCATTGGACAGGAGGCTGGGTGGGCCCCAGAGCCGGTCTGGACGCAGAGGCTAGAGGAAAAATCCTCTGCCCCCGTCGGGGATCGAACCTCGGCCGTCCAGCCCGTAGCTAGTCACTATACTGACTGAGCTATCCCGGCTCTATTAAAGAAGGTGCTCCGCGAAGAAAATATTGGAAACATATTATCTGTTCTGTAAATGGAAAGTAGTTCTAATTACTGGAAAACACATGTAGTCTTCTTTTCTATTGTAAAGGTTTCTAGTCCTACATACTGAGTGTTGTTAATGTTACATTCATGTATTTAAAGTTTATAATTCAAAACAGAACGTAATTTACTTCATGAGTTATCATGCTGGGCTAATAAAAAAATGGACACATGTCTGAACCCCATTTGGATCACATTTTTCCATTATTTCTGGCAGCTGTAATTGCAGTTTTTCAAATCTCTGAAATATTTTAAGCTACAAAATTTGACAGTAGTGTAAATATATGTAAATGTATATTTATATATTAGTCAGGGAATAAACATTCTTAATATTGTAAACACTGCTAATTTCAAATGAAAAAAGTTGAATTTTTTTAAGAACTCCCACAGAATGAAGCTAAGGTTGGTTGTATGTTGGTGTCTAGAACTTTGTTACATGAATATTTACTTGTATTTCATTAAATCATTAAACGTTTCAGGATAAACTAATTTTATAGTCACATTTTTTGTTCATTATTTTCAACAGCTAACTATAACATCGCTATATGAATCATCTCACCTCATCAGCTCAAAACTTATGCAAAGATGATGTCTGAAATAGAAAAATTCAAGCATGTGAATGATGTTATGAGTTCCATCTTTATCTTTCTTGCGAAGATGCTCTAGGATCCTTACTTCAATGAGTGCTTGATGATGAAATCTCTTTTTATTCCTGCAAACAAATTTAATTACAATTAATGCCATTTCAAGATTATAACCTATTGTTATAGTCTTGATTTCAAATATCACCTTCATAATTTATATGTGTGTGTATCTTTCTTGGTCAATTTTCTAGACGAATAGCCGTTTCCTGTTTTCATCTATAAACAAGGTCCAACGTGTCACTTGCTACAAAAGACATCACTGGTGCATTTCGTAATAAAGTTATTATTAAATGAAACTGAAAGTAAATTTAATTGTTACTAAAACCATTTTCACGAGCAACTTTATGCAGACCTACCACAAATTTTAAACCAAATAGCGCACAAGAAAACGGTGTTCGATAAAACCCTGTTTTTGAAATACCAAAACTAGATACAAATTTCAAGAGGGTACAAAGTCCTTTGTATTCTATAACACCCTTATTCTGAAATTACCTAATAATCTTGATGGCTATATGCTGATTGGTTTTATGATCCAATGCTCGGATGACTTGACCAAAGCTGCCTTTACCTATTACCTCGAGGATTTCATACCGATACGATATGTGGTCATGGAGAACCTGCGCGAAAAAAGAAACATCATTAGTTTCAAAACTTTTAAGTTTGCACTCCCCCAAAAATAAAAATGCCCATGAAGAGGCTATAAAGTAAATATTCTTATTCTTTCTCACCAAACATAACCTTGTCATCTCAATTTTAATCATATATGAAATTTGTTAGGAAACCAACAGGAAAAATGACAGGGGTTTGCATTTCCTTACTGGTGTAGTTAATAAAAATACCACAAAAAAGGCACATTTAAATCATGGAAGTTCATTATACTCTGTTAGTAGAGGCTCTATGATTCAACAGCTTGAGATATAAATTATATTCTGCTGTGAATTAAGCCTGTATTTTCGTACATATTTAGACTCTGGGCTCAATATTTTTTGTATCTCTGTCCCATCTTACAAACCATGAATATACTGCCATATTGTCTGTATGTTATGTACCTTATTATAGCTGCCATTGTCATCATCAAATCCACCATTCTGTGGATCTCCATGAATCTTGCAGGCATCGAGACCCAAATACCAAATTTCTTGATATTCGTCCACTTCAATCCTTTCATATTCTGTAAGTCGGCTCCCATAATATTTTCGTACCTCTGGAAAAGTTGAAATATAAATGTTACGTGATAAGAGTTAAAAGACTTTTCTGTGTGACAGCAAAATTTATAGCACTAAGATATGATTTAAATAGATTCTTCATTTATTTAATAACATTTTGATCTGTTTAGGCTAGATAGTGTCAGCTGTGATAATTAGTTGTACTTGATGGACTGTAGGTATGGACCTGGAAGAAGGCAATCATGGCTTATTTAAAGATCCCCTGCCATTCTGGAACTCAGAGGTTCATTAGGATGTTCATATGATCCTGCCACTGGACCCTATCCTGAGTCTGCTGAGTGGGCATGAATGGAAATTTTTCTTTTTGTTGTCTCTCATAAAACATAATTCTGTAACATTATAATGTTGCTGCTCTTAATTAATATTCTAATATTTTTTGTGTAGAAGTGACTGAGGAGAACACATTTTTCTGGGCATACTTGATCATTTCCTTATATCAGTCCTTTTCCAAGAGTAGACTAGCATGAGTAATAGCTATCAAATGTTCCTGACTATGAATCAGTGCTGTGTGGGTATATTGCCTCTTGTGGAATAAGCAAATTTCATATTCATGAAATACTAGCAGCAAATAATGTGTACATAATTTCTTTATCTGTATAATGTTTACACTATCTATACAAGAGTTAGCATATTATATGTTAATGGGCATAACATGGGGTGGGTATGACAGATCAAATACAGAAGTGCAGCAACTGAAACCTAAGTTGGCTATCCTGAAGCACAATACTGAAGGGAGTCGACGGAAAGCGATCATCGATTGATTACACAAATACTGAATCTTCTTCCTACTGACAAATAAAAATTAATGTTCGGAGTGATTGGACTGAGTAAATACGCAGTGTGTGTGTATATCAGTAATACAGGCGTAACTGCATTTTTGTTTCCATTTTTTGTAAGCAAGGTTACTGGACTAATGTGGGTATCGTATTCGTATTCCGATACATCGATAGGCACAATTCATACGTGATTTCTATGGATCTTACTTAACTGATAAAGGGAAGAGAATGTATGTTCTAACCCCGTAAACGAATAAAATGTCATCTTGGATTTTGTTGCGAAATAACATAAAAATTACAGGTTATCTATCGTTACTATTGAAATATTGATTTCTTTTTTGGCTAATTATTCCTTCATGCTAAGTTAATTTTTTCGGTCCGGTATGAAGGGCAATCTAGTGGCAGAGTACAATACTAACATTATTAGAGTGTAGTTGGTAGTAATGGTCACAATCGAACGATAGTTTTCGTTCGGATTGTTTTTAGAATTGTAGCAATTTAATTAAAGCATTTGGATTTGTATTCCAGTTAAAGCATTCGAATAACAGTATTATGTAAATATTCGACTACACATTGTTTACAGAATTCAATCCAATAATCTGGCGTAAACTGCTTAATTTTTGTATATTCTATAATCCTTCTTTCCACACGTGATCGTTAAGTTCGATAAATGTTCAGTTTAAAAGTAGTGTGAAATAACCAATAAATCCATTCGACTGCTTGAGAAGGAAACAGTTGAAACGTCTGTACTACGTCACTTCCACTTCGTGTTTATCTTCCCCGAGCCCCTAGTTATAAAATTGAGAGGTCCGGACTACAGTGGAAGAATCTTGTGTTCGAATAATGGAACTTCGAATTATTCGGTAGTTCTCAGCAGTCTTATTCCACAGTTTTCATTTAGTTGGTACTGAAAACGTTACAAATGCCAGAATTAATCCAGACAGGTTTTATTTTATACGGCAAGTATGTTGGAATTGAAAATGTCTTACCGACACGTAACGAGTGCAAACAGTGCAAAGTGCGGAAGTGTGATTATAGTGAGTGGACACATATAGAAGGCAACTTACCAGCAGGTGTGAGGGGTAGTCGACGCCCATGAGGATCGTGCCGTTGCAAAGGTGGACTACTGTCCAAAACATTGTTGTTAATGTTGCTGGCATTATTGTTATTGTTATTGAGCACTGGGAAGCATGCAGATACTGGAGTAGGTGCAGCTGTTGAACTAGACCTTGATGAATCCTGATGCTGCTGATGATGATGGTGATGTAGGTTTAATCGTGAGGACGATACCGACACACTTTTAATATGGCTGGTGCTTCCCAAAGCTGGCAACTTCTGACCCTGTTGGCACGAAAACCAAGGTAAGAGATGTCTTCTACTATCCAAATATGCCTTCACTGACATTTTCACTTTTATTCTTTTTGGGTTACACTGTTTTAAAATGTTTACATTGTTTTCCTTGTGCGCTGTTGCACCCATGTAAACAAATATTCACTACTTGGCTAGATGAGGTTGCGAGGGCATTGTTGAAAACATTCAACCGTTCCGTCTTAACTACCACATCTCACTCGAAGCCCACGGACTGACTGCACAAGATGTACTGGTAGTAAGAGGAAGGCTGTTGGAAGTGTGGGGGAAAGTCACTGAGGGGAAGAGGTGGAATGAGTAGGGATATGTGTATTACAAGCATGCACTCAGAAACTCATGACGACAGAACTTGTGTTAGTCATGTGTAGATAACTTATTCCGGAAGGAATTCCCGTTATAGTGTTGGGACAGTTCATCATTTGCCTGTGAGTGACAGGTTTTGTGTGCTGGTTATCGGTGGGTTATGCTGAGTGTGTACGGCACATGAGGATTGAATGGGTGAATCATGACACGTGTAGACTTTGGTCATCAAGTACATGAAAGAAATTCTGAAAGGAAGCAAGAATTCTATCAAGGATCAGATTTGAAGGAATTTTTAATTTGTAAAATAATCATACTTGACTACTGGAAGATCACACTATTACACAAATACATTCGGTATTATTACAGCATTTTATGAGAGCGTGGGTGGTATTATTACGTTATTACAGCATTTTATGAGAGCGTGGGCTACATTTGTGTGGCTTCATAGGGACCGGTGCCAGTGGCGAACTTTTGTGAATGTGGTACGGAAACTTTTGATTCCACAAATGACGCGGAATTTGTTGATCGACAAAAACTGTAGCTTCTCAATAATGACTGCTCCATGGAGTTGTTCTGTTAGTAACGTTGTGTGTGTAGTTGGGTGAAAAATGTAATGGCGCCACTCCCTGCATAAACAATGGACGAATATAATAATGGAAAGTCCATTAGCAATGAGAGCGAGTTCGTACTTGAACTGTGTAGCTGTTAAGACCTCCCACACAAAGACCTAGGCAGGTAACTTCCTACTTACAAACCAAAGGACGAAGTCAGCTCACAGCTTACCTGCACTCTGTTTCCATTCTCCGTTACTTGTACATTTGTGCAGTTTTCACTTTATTTGTTGAGAGACTTGTGGAAATGGTGATTGACGTGAGTTAACAGATATTTACGAAGGACGAGATTTCGAGGCTTATTTAAAATATCACGTCAGTTTATACATTTATTTTGCACAAGGTCGGCAGTGTATTTACGATACAAGTAATCCGTTCAAATCTTGAAGTACAATTTTGGTACCAAATGTATAACGTGAACTATCACTCTACTCCATTGCTTTGAATGCATTTTATGTTGAGATAAAATTTACTACACTTGATCAGATACATATCTTTTCTGCGTATAACATGTTTATCTTTTCAAGATAATGGCTTAAATACTAAAATGGCTGTAAAGTACTTGGGATGAAACGTTTTGTTTTGCGTGAAGCATCTAACTAATTTATAATTTGAATCTAGATTGCTCGTCATACTTTCCCATTGTGTTTTATTCAAGGCAGTTACGTGGGCCATTATTCGAAACTGAAGAAAGCGCTTTGTTTCAGACATCTGTTGAAATTTCTTAGACGCAGGTCCTATATAATTATGTTTTTTTCAGAAGACGAGATCGAATTTGAAGAAGACGCCAGAGGTTTGTTTCCTTGGAACTGCATGCTTTTTGCATAAGTTATAAATCCCCAAGGGGTCAATTCATGAATAGGTAGGCGTATTATGTTACGTCGTCAGTACAGATGCTGCTCTTTAATGTTTGCTTAACGTGTTCACGTGTCGCAGTTATGTTTGGAAGATAATGAAAATGATGGCGGGCATCGTGGTCTAGTGCCTAGTTAGCACTTTTATTCCTCATCCTGTTCAGATCTCTGTCGAGTTTCCTGCTGTCCTGATCTTGCTACGTGTTTCTGCAGTATCTTCAGGTGAACTCTTTAGAATAGGTCACTGCCGCCAGATTCTAAATCCTTACCTACTGATTCCATGGTCATCTCATTCGACTCTAGTATCGTCTGCCGTTCAGTCGACGTAGTTTTAAATTACATAAAAGTCAAGCGAACCGAACAACCAAAAATACTTCCCGATATTATTTTCTGAAATGTTCCGCAACGGAAAACTCAATTGTTGGATACCCAACTTCAATCACATGCTCCCAAATTAAAAACATTCTCCTTTTTACAAACACCAAACATCACGTCCACCCCCGGACCTTGGAAGTTAAGCAGTGGACGATTACAGAATGGAATGTATTTCAGTTTATTCGGACAATTATATAGCGCACAGATTATTAATAAAAATAAAACGAATTCTTTGCAGCTCGCTCAAAAGTTCTAACAAAGTTCTTGGATCAAGAAATCTAAAGTGATAGAATTATCTTTCGTAACAGAGTCCCCATTTATTAAACATTTGATGCCGAAGTTCGTCTAAATATCATTGGAAAAATTCAGCCCGTACCGCACAGAGAACACTACACTTCATCATTACAAAGATCAACCGGTTAAAGCATTTAAAGGATTGCCACCAGACTTTCAAGGGTATAAACTGTTTCATCAAGAATTTCGGCTACTAACATATCTTGTTGCTTTAAAAATTCGAATCCCACACTGTTTAACGGAATTCTTTTATAACTAATGCCGTAAACAAACAGAAGTCAATGGAATAAAAAAAAATAATTTATGTTAGAAAGAAGACAAGCCTAATTCTCTTCCAAGAGTTCACAAATTTAAAACCTGCAAATGTTATAAGCAATAATAATAAATAGGATGCCTTTACCTTATTCATTCTTCAAGAGGAAGAGACCTCGATGTCCACCGGAAAAATAAAATGGAGAGAGTGAAGGACAGTGTCAAGAATTTCTTAGTAATTCGCAAAATATAAGTACTTTGGTTATTGTGAAAGACTTTTAAAAGCACAAAAGTATCTCGTCTACAACACATGTCACCTACAAGCGATTCACAGCTCAGCTCTTTCCACACTGACGAAAGCGGAGTGTTGACAATGCCGACGTAACAATTAGTAAAGAAATGGAGTGCAATACGGTTTATTCAGTCTATTATACTGCATGCACAAGAATTGAAAAATGACCCTTACGGAATGCTCGGTCAGTATTGTTGCAGGCGTGGTTTAGAAATTCCAATACTTCTTATTACATTGTTGTACACGCAGGTGTGTTAATATAAAATCTGACCATTGCCGTTCTATATTTAGACATTATTTTTAGTTAAAAATAATACAAAGAGAATTACTCAAATATATAATTTGGTTACATTCCATCCTAACTGTAAAAAACATAAATTAATATTAAATATTTTTCTCTATAAGAAGGAAATAAATTTAAAAGTAATTAAAAGAGGCATGAAGAAAATTTTACAATTTCATTTGCCCTTATTTAAAAATAACGTCCGGTTTTAGTATGCTTGCCCAGGCGCTGTTGAGTCCATCCTTGTGTGAGAGAGAAATGTTTCCTTCGTTCGATTCCCGGCAAAGATGTTTTTGTTGTTCGGATAGTAAGCACTAGGGAAGAATGGCGCTAAGGCATATTTATCTATGGCTACTATGCACATGTACTAATATACAGTAAAACCTCTCAAGATGGACATCCCTATATATTGGACACTTTTAATTGGAACCGGTGAATATACTATAATTTTACATGTCCACAATTCCCTATATCTTCGACACCCCTTTTGCTGTAAGTTGGACAGGTTCGTGCACTGAGGCTTCAATAATTTTCAGGGAAACGTTTACAGTTACATAATTTGTTGTTTTGAATTATTGACTGATGAGTGTCTTCTGTCTGGAGGATTAGCCTATGGTTCAGGGGGTAAGAGACATGAACCCATCGTGCGCGGTGGCGCGAATTTTAACTGAACATTCTAGCTTTGAGTAATTTTTTCGCACCCTTGCACAGCGCATCAGCAGCTGAAACTTTGTGGACAATCATTACTAGATTGGCTCTGTAGACGAGCAAAATTTGAGGTGAGGTTTCGGCATGACCAATCTGACCATTCCCTTGTTAGTGATATTTTTCGTGTTAGGGTAAATTTTGATACTATATTTATCCGCATTGCACAAAATGACCTGTCCCTTATAGTTTTCACCACGCAGTTTTATGACATGCTTTGGGTTATCCGTCGGAATCTTCTAATGGTCGTCTTAAATGAGATTTCTTTGCAACAGTGTTTACAGAACTTGATGGGATTGCCTTTACTGTCGTCACTGCACTAAAATACGGTCCGGGATTTCAGCTTCATGATACGTATCCTTGCTTACTCTCACTCCCAGCTGCTCTGTTACCATGGTGACTTGCAATGGAGCAGAGATCTGCCCGGTTCAAACAAGCCTGACTCCCGTTCCTGGGATGTGCACGCCAAGTAATAAGTGCAAGTAAAAGTCAAAAGGCGAAAACATTAAAAGTTATGTTGGCAGAATCGAAAAATATTGCGGATTTTAAGAATTATCCTCCCTCATTTGCACCTAGTTAGTTTCCATTGTTTTTTAAGTCGCGATAATAAATCCTGCAGAGGGATTAATATTGCTACTTCATTGATAGAATGAACCAAAGAACAACAAGGGTCTGAATTCCTATGTTTGTAGTCAGAAGGTGTAAAAAACTAGAGAATTTTACAAGTATCAGTCCGTAGACCAGCTACCTTGATTGATATTTGAGTGGTATTCCTCAGAGCCTCCAGGATAATATCTGTAAAGAAGGCCTGTGCCTTAAATTAGACCGCGATCATTTCCTTCAACGTATTCTCCAATTCATTATTCATGGCTTAAGGTCTACTGATATGAATCCGTAAAAATTAGACGTCATGTAAAGCAAGAGACCAATATGGACCAAAGTAAATTTACCAGAATGTCTTAATTGTATACCCCATCGAAATTTAGCCAAAGTCCGTTTAAAAGCTTCGGAAACTAGAAATGCACGAAGACTGAATGTCCTCCCCGAGACCGTGTGTGTGACTGCGCACGTTTTTGGCGAAGTTTGACCTAATAAAAGTGCCATATTGATTCTTGTTTGCAAAGAGAGGAGGGTACACTGTAGAGACTAGGTCGCTTTACAAACCCATCAGCGGTTTCAGGACGAGTGTGACATTCCGGTCTAGACTCCTCAATTTCCGGAATAAAATTCCACATCCAGCTTCGGTGACTAGAGGATTCGTAAAATCAATACTTCATATAGGAAGGGAAGGGTATGCGATGATTTACCAGTAAGACGTGAGAGTGGGT